TAATAAAATGAATGAATTAACCGACCCGATCAATCTTTCTTTAGACAACAGTATCATTTAGATCTTCGAACGAATGATACTAATTTTTTTTTTTAAATAAGAAACAGGTAGTATAGAATCGGTCCACGATGTAGAGTCTGGGACAACGTCGGGCTAATATACCAGGCCAGACCAGGTAAGAGTCTACACGAGTAGTGCGTGGGGCATCAACAGGCTCGGTTATAAATAGATCGCGAAGGTCAGCAGAATCAGCAGTTTTCATGCAAATGCCCCCGTCGATAGAATAATTCGTTCCTTTCGAACAGAGTACTGATCGTTCGTCTCTATGTTACTTATCAGACTCATTCCATTTCGCTTCCCACTTCTACCCCTCCCCCCCCCATCCATTTTCTCTTACACACATACAAATTTAGAATGTAATTTTAGAGTTCTTTATTTCTCAATGATAGACTTTTCTTTATTATTTCTTTTTTTTTGTAATATTGTCAAATATTGTTAACTTATTAACATTTTTTATTGTTATATTCCTATGGCGATAATTATAGAAAATTGGATTAAGTAATAGAATTGAAACGATTGATTATTAGATTTATTTGTATATATAACGATTATTTATAGTATAAAATAAATTATATAATCAATTTTCTTCAATATTTTTTATTTATTTATTCTACTTTCATAACTATCCGCATATACGAGGAAAAATACAAATAGGAATAAATTAAATCTATTAAAAGATATAATTATGTGTCATATAGAAGCCAATTATCATCGAAATGATGTGAAGAAATCATTAATTAATATAAAAATAAAAGAAATAAGTTTTTTTGAAATAAATAACTAGATAAATGTTGTCAAGTGTACAGTAATTGGTAACCTAGAGGTATTACAACATAGCACGTAAGTATGTACATATAATAGCATTTAAATGCTATTCTTAAACATCCATCGTTGTTACGTAAATAAAACCCGGAAAAGACGGAAAGACAAATTAACCAAAATGAAACGCTACTTTGAAAATTAGTTATAAATATAATAAGGATTTGACCTTATCTATAAATAATTATCATTTTTTTTGTATATCAAAATTACGATTCTTATCCCCAGCTATATCACATATATATCAAATAACGCATACGTATGGTAAATACATAGATATGATTATAATCCTTTATTGATTCCGAAATTCGTTGACAACGAGTATACAACAATTCACAAAGACTCGAATAGAGTGGTAACTTTAATAACACCTCGAATATCCGCTTCGAAGTCTGCGCGTAACGTAAGCAGCATCAACAGGTGGTTGCACGAAGGAAGGTAGGTAGGTAGATAGGTACTACATATGTAGGTGTCATATATATGTGATTTTCTTACATACATACTAAAAGAGAGAGAGAGAGAGAGAGAGAGACAAGCGAAGTTGCGTTATCGAAAATTCCCACTGATTCTCTGTGGTATTCGTGCGTGTTACGAGCTTCACTTCGGCGCATAGGTGGGCATTACAAGCTCAACGTCCACCTACACGTATGTACCTAAATGGGTACTCGGACGTGCACAGGGTGGTCCACGCAATCTCGAGTCGCCTTCGTCTTTCGAGAGCCTTCGATCTTCCTTTCTCTCTCTCTCTCTCTCTCTCTCTCTCTCTCTCTCTCTCTCTCTCTCTCTCTCTCTCTCTTTCTTTTTCTCTTCATCTCCTCCTCTCGTTCTTAGTAAACCCGGATGACGCAGCGACATGCAAGCATGAGCGCATTTTAAGCGCTCTCTTTATGATCTCGATGTACTTTCTCTGCGATCATCGAAAATAATTATGAACCGAGAATGTCACAGATACGATATGCATCCACTTATCGTAACTGTCTATACTTTGGTAACTAAATGATAGAGAGCACTTCTTGCGAGAAGCTAACAATATAAATATTTTTAAATAAATTATAATTAAGTTATTCTTTCAAAATATAATAAATGTATAATAATATTAGTAATTTATATAACAAAATATATATATAATATTATAAGCACGTACAAAAAAATATACCATTTTTTGCAAAAGAAAAAAAAGATAATACGTGAAATGATTAAACAGGCTAACGGAAAAAATATTTGTAAAAATTTTTGTGAACCAATTTATCTAAATTTTATGTATTTTTGTGTACTGAAACCGTATTTGGTATCAGTTATTTTTTATCACCAACGATTCTCTTCCGATAAGGCATCATTTATAGATTTCAAAAAAATAGAGAAAATTTGAAATGAAAAATTAAAACATCATAGTTCTTTTTTTATTAAGTTATAATTATCACTTACACAATAATATTAAATAACTAAATGCGCGCGCGAATGTTAGATGCTTTTTTTTCCACACAGCATTCAATTATGAGCTGTATAGTTAATTTTTTTGTAAGTTTCCTTCACGTGGACTGAATAAAAGATATACACATTATTATCTTTTTCTCTTGTTTTTTTTTTTTAACAAAAAACAACTATATATTGTTGTTTTTAAATTATTATTATTATTACAATAATATTTGACGTGAATAGATTAATTATTCGAATTATTCTAAATTATTCGATTAAAAATGATCGAAAGATCGATCGAGGTAAGAAAGAGGTCGGTATCAAGAGAAATCGAGAGTACGATCCGTCTTCGTTTCACTTTTGCAAGATAAAAGAGTAAAATAAAAGTAAATAAATATAATGCATACGTTAAAAAGAGAGAGAAAGAGAGAGAGAGAGAGACGCGTACATGGCGCCAAGACGAGTCGGGAAGAGCTGCCGCCGTTAAAGGAATCCGACAAATTTGCTCGACGATACTCACCACTGCCGTCGAGTATAACGAGTGAAACTAGGTGAAAGTAAGTAGCTCTTTGCGGGAGAGAAGGGTCTTTTACAGGAGTGACGCGGCGTACTCACGTGTTTTACTCACGCTCCCCCTCCCCCTTCTCACCTCCTTATCAATTAATGATCTTTCTTAATGATATGGACTTAAAAACGATAAAAATAAGAAAATAAATATCTTCAGAGAAGAATTTCGAAGCATATATAACATACGAAGGTGAGTTAAAAAGTTTCGAGTAACAACAACAACAAATCTTTTTCTTTGCTGAATATTTTTAGCTGAAGTGTTTTTTAAGGACGGAATAGTTTATTGCACCTGTTTCCGTTGATTGATATTATTAACCCCGGATTAAATAATAAATAATATTTAATAATTAATGTTTTTGTGTGTGTGTGTTTCTTATATATAATTTTCATGTGACATGACTCAAAACAACAATCAGTACGCAAATCAACATTATATTATTTTATATTAATATTAATATTGGCAAACACGTATATGCATCCATAGCATTCAAAGAGTTACTATGGTACACTTTTGTAACCCAAATTATCTTCAAAGGTTGTCTTAATTAAACTTCAAAAGAATTACTTTAATTGGCATTACTTACAATTAAATAAAAACAAAATATTCATGAAGTGGAAAAAAAAATAAAATCAATTGCGACGACAAAAAATATAATGACATTTAAAAGTTAAAACAAATAACACGTGCGTATGTGTTTTTGCGCGTGCATTTCGTATCCACGTATTAAATGACTAATTCGAACCATAAGATCGGTATTACTGGAATGTCGTCAAGTATATACATACAGGTATATACATAAACGCCCGTCGCGTTTATCGCGGTTATCGAAGCTAATCGTGCGAGCTTTGCATATTTCGAAGTTCAACGACCTTGTGCGTGCCGCCGATCGATCGTCGATAAAATTATCGATAAAGATCGGATGCGATAATGAAACGTTTACCATTCCAGTCCGGGCTTCGACCGTCCTCCAGTTAAAAATCGATCTTATCTTGAATAATATGATCGATTTTTTCCACAAATTTTATGATATTACTTAAAAAAAAAAACAACGTTGATAAATATATATATACACACACGCGTATAAAAGAAATAGATTTTGCGTAATCGAGAACGACGGTTCGATTAAATGCACATTGCGAGATATAGTATAAAATATGAGAGAAATCTGCTACATCGACGATTATCTAATCGTTTTGCATCGTGTCGTATAGCTTTCAACATTTCTAACAATTTATGCGAATATATACACACATATTATACATATTAATGTATATGCGATACATATATTATACATATTAAAACTAACTAAAAGTTCAGTCTGCGCTTAATAAACAAAAAATTAATCATCAAAAGATAAATCATTTTATCGGCAAGAAATTGAAATGTTTATCAAGATTACAACCAATTTTTAATATTATTAAAAAATTGTTAATTATAAATATCGATAAGAGGAATATCTGAACGGTATAAAAATTTATAAACTATTTTTCGTTTCATTTTGAAATATAAATAAAAATATATGCGTGATACGCGAAGATGTATACGTATATGTGATATATATATAATATTATACGTAAAAGGATGTATCGTAACACGTGGACGAAAGCACACGTTTGCACGTGAGAGGGCAAACGTAACACGTAATTATATCGTCGAGCCGCGGGTGTTCAGATTGTCGAAGAAGAATAACCCTCGTCTAGTAAGTCTTTGACAAGACACGACGGCTTTCGAGCGAGCAAGAGACTCAACATACTTTCTCACGCTCCTATCAAATTAATCCTTCAATCTACCGATCTACTTTCGATGTTCCTGCATCCTTCGATCGCTTTATTAAAAGCTTTTACGTTCTACCTTTTGTAACGAAAAAATTCGTCACTATGTTCATTTAAATACTTGCTTATGTATTGTTTTTCTTTGTTTATTCCGACTTGTTGATATTTCGTCGAATTAGTTTCTTTTTTTATGATTATGTCGACGCAACTGTCTAATGATTAATTGCTTTATCCGAACTTGATGTGTTTTGTTTATCTATTTCATTTTTTTTTTTACAGACAAATTCACGGTTATATTAAAAAATCAATTGATCTGTATATTTTCATTTTGTATTCGTATAGTGAATTACAGTAAATCTACTCACGTAGCTGATCATTGGTATATTTCTTGACTGAGCGACTATAGCCTCGACATAACAGGAACCTTCGGGTCCGAAGAAGGCCGCGACCCCGTCGCAGATCATGTCGATCATAGCATTCGTGGCTTCTACGGTCTCTCCCCTTGTGTCGTTCCATCGCATCACCAGATTTACGTCTGGCAAAATATTAGGGTCCTTGTTGATCTGGAAAAAATGTGCAAATGTTAAAAGAACGTTTCAAAAAACAAAAAAAAAACAAAGTATAGATCTCTTTAAATTCTTCTATTAGGTAATCGAAATGATTGAAAATCATTCGCGAAAGGTTGGATAGAACAAAATGTTGAAAATATTTTTATAATAGAAAGAATTTTCTATTTTATTTCTTTCTTTCTTTCTCTCTCTCTCTCCGTCGTGCACAATCTTACTCGGTATATCCGGCTCCCGTATAAATATCACTCGCTCGGTTATTATGCAAATCTGAATTCCAGCAAACAATACTTTTCCAAGTAGTCACTATCCCGGTGTGCCAATTTACATGCTTGCCAACTCGAGTTGAAATTATAACCGTTGGTACCGTTGAAAAGTTCGCACGTGTAATAAATCCTTCTAGACCGCCACCCTCCTCCTTCTCTTCCTCTTCCTCATCCTATTTCTCTATTTCGTGTCTCCATCCGCGGATTCGCGAGTTTCCTTTTGAACATTGTACAGAAGCCATTATGCGAGTAACTATTCTACGTTCTCGCATGACTCCTACGCGAATAAAGAAGAGTGAGAGAAAAAGAGAAAAAAAAAGGATATTGCGAGTGGCACCCTCATTGCGTCGAATTTATATTCGTGACACGAGTTTCAGGAAGGTCGCCAGAAAACCGGCGAATCGAAGCAAGTGACAGAGAATCTTCGATAAAAGAATAGTTTATATTAGATATAATTTTTGTTTAATAATTAAATGTATTTTGCAATAAATATTGAATACAAATGAGTACAAAAGAAACAATTTTTTTTCTTTATTCAATGTTATTCATAAAAAATTGCATTATTGAATTTAAAAATTTAATATTTATAAATGTTAATCATTTGATTTAAAATCGCGAGGAACATTTATACAATTTTTTGCACGATACATTCTTGTGCAATTTAATGTACATCGATCGATAAGTAATGCATTAAAATATAATCTATTATAAATGACCCACGTATGTTTCCTTTAATCTACAATCTTAATGATTTTATTCGCATTTAGCTTTTTTGGAAATATTTAATTATTATTCTTTCCAAATGCAACATATAACTTTAGCGTTACATGTAAGGAACGAAAAGAAAGTATAAACGTTGAAGGCCATTACAATTTTACCAATCGGTTACATTTTGAACGAATGAAGGGCGTTCAGTTTGAAAAGGCGATGCGAATTCCAAGGATGATGAAAAATATTTTACAACTTGCTCATTTTATTTGGTTATATTGGAAGAAAGATAGAAATAGAGAGAGAAAGAAAAATAAATAAGTAAAAAATGAAATGAAAATACAAACGATCATATTTACGAATCCGTTTCATTTTACAAACATCGCTGAATAATCTCGACGAATGATAATAAGATCTTACATAGGAATAAAAAAAAATAAAAGAAAAAGAAAATGAAGAAAAATACGTTCGATCATTTGGATTATTCCGTTGAACATCGGATCGATCGACAAATGATGACGCCAGAAACAATCTCACGATTTTCATCATCGATCTTACGCACGCGACTGGTGGTCGCAGTTCTTCTCTCACGAAGCCGATATACGTTCCCGTTTACCGATCTCATTACCACCTACGTATGCTCTAGTTAACGCGGCAAATACCACACTTTTTTTTAATCATTAACTTGACGCAATGACGAGGATAAACCGTAGAAGGTGCACCTGCACGCAGGTAGGAACGCGTTCTCGCGACCAACAACAACCATGAGAACGCTTATTACGATATGGTAGGTATATGACGGATAAAGGCCGCGTTATAACTCGCCCAAGTAAGTGTCGTTCTGCTTACGGCAGCAACGCCAGGAGCCGACATTGCGATCGCGATGCTTACTCTTGCGTGACATATCGAGGTGTATAAATAAACGGCCGCGAGTTGTTTCCTGCGCGCCTTTTCTTAAGAAACTCTTCAAGAACTCCCCGAATCTCATTTCCTTTTAACGTTTTCGATTCGTTACTTTAATGAATTGATATTTTTTTTCCTTACGGATTGACAACACTAATCGAGGAGTACGTAAATATATTTCACAACGAGAATATAGATAATATTAATATAATTATTCGTTAACGATTTCGATAATTCACAATTTGTGTCGTTATATTTTATATGATTTCAATTGTTTTAATAATTTAATTTATTGTACATTCGTTTTTTTTTTACACCATTTATAAAAGCTAAATCTCAAGATCTTACGGATTTTTAGTCGAGATTGAGAGAAGGAATAAAAAGAAAAAAAACCAACAACAAAGTGAGAAAGTGAGTTATAGATAAGACATTTCTCCCAATACGAAGAGAAAGAAAGATTATCAAGGTGCGAAATAACCAACGAAGGAGGGAACGAGCTCTCTGAAATTAATAAGAAAAATCGATAGCAGAATGCACCGCGATGATTTCGAGCCGCGAAATAGGGTGGATACGGTTCGCGGCTGGTAATTACTGGCGGATGGCCGATTAATCTTTGACATAACGGCGTTTTATTTTCGCGCCAGGGTGATGGTGGTGGTGGCTACAGCTCGAGGCGCGATACGATCGGTTCATTTCGGGCATTCCCAACCCGTAACTTCTCTTTCTGTTTCTCTCGCTCCTTATTCTTTCACATGGGCACCCATACATACATCCACTCACAATCATGTATCACACGAATAAGAAAGAAAAAGAGAGAGAAAGATGAAAGACAAACGGATGCATACTGCAACTTGCAGAGAGATCTTCTCGAACTTGAGTTTGGGATAAAACCTGGGAG